CGGGCAATAGATTGTGTTCTTGTCGGACTCGAGTTCGGTCTTGTACTTGAGCGTCACGTAGCGTTTGACTACCTCCTGGTCGAGGGGGATCTGCAACAGCTCGCTGGGGTTGATCAAGGTTCTAGGCTTCTTGCGTTTCCCGCCCGCCGGAGATGTCGCTTTTGCGCGCTCTCTCGCGCAATTGGGTGCCAGGCATCTTACTGTCGAAATATCTCCTTCCTTGATGGCATTATTGTAAAAGTCCTGTAAGCACGCGACACAGAAGACGTGCCCACAGTCCAGCATCCGATGGCAGACGGTGCCTTTCTTTGGTTCTAGTTACAAGGTTAGTACATGTCGGCACGAGTTCAGAACAAATGACGGCGTCAGATGGAGGGTTCAGGGGTTCAGGGGTTCACAAAGACAAGCCGTAAGTCCCCAGCCCGGCACCGTCCATCTCAACAAAGTCGATTCAAAACAAAGACGGCACGACATACCTAAACAGACCCCACAATCAAAAGTCTCCTTCTCAAACGCCGCCCTCCGCGCCGTGATATCGTAGTCCAGAATGGCAATCTTATGCCTCGGGTCAACCTCGAGCGAGCCCTTGTCGTCCACGAGCCCAAAGACATTGTCGGCGGCCTGCTGCACATGGTCGATGTACGTGAAGCCGACGATATCCCGCCCCATCTCTTCCCACAGCCTGGACGCATCGCCTTCCAGCTGCTTGACCGTCTCGACGGGGAGCCATGGGGGGTTGGTCGAGATGGTGATCGACGGTGGCTGCTCGGCGGGGTATTGCGGGCCCAGCGTAATCTCGAGATGCACCGAGGGCAGGTGTGCTAGCTCATGGGAGTCGACGGCACCCTGCTGGCCCGAGCCGGGTATACCGGCGCCGTTTGGGCCGCCGTTGGCGCCTGGGGGTAGGGCATCGTCAGCGGCCGCTGGGAAGAAGACGGTGACGGTTTTCGATGGGTTGACGGGTACGTCGAGGGCGATGGTGTAGGGGTCGTCCGGGCGCAGCTGCTGGATCTCGGGATAGATGGCAGAGAGAGAGCTGAGCTCGACGTCGCGCGGGTTGTCGAGATCGTCGGCCATTTGCTTCCCCCGTGACCGTCTGCTCGGCTGTTCCGTTCGTTTCCCCAAGGCCGAGCCGGTGTGGTGCCGGTTGCGCGTTGCTACCTCCCTTGGTGAGTCTGACGCAGCGACGTAGAAGTTGTATCAGAGGTTGCCATGCGCCAAGTGAAGTAGGAGTCGTCGTCGCCCCAAGCCGTGGGGATTTTGCGCTTCGGTGGGTTCTCGAAATGGCCGATTAGGCACTGACTGCTGCACGCTCTCGCCCCGCTTGAGTCCGGTTATTGATATTTGTCAGACGGGCCTGAAGGAGCAGCGCTGTGGTTTGAAATTCTGCAATGTCATGGCGGCATCTTCTCGGGCTGAAGAACTGGAGCCAGGGCCGAGGGGCAAAACCACTCGTTCGCGCTTCCCAAGTGCAGACGGTCATCGAGTCCATCGATTTTCGAGACCGGGCACCGATGACTCGTCCGGCCGCTGAACAACAACCTGGCAGCTCCGCATGGGCCCACCGTGCACCGCAGGCTGCAATTTATGGGGCCGCTTCAGGGCGGGCTGAGCCGATTGGCCGCTGGAAGCAAGCCCACTGCCGCCAAGGCCCAGCACTGACTTGCCTTGCCCAGCTTGTTCCAGGTGCAAGTTGGACACATCAGCTCGCGACGACATCTTCCAGCACACAAAGTCGCGATCCTGGCCGAGGGCGGAGAAACCCCAAAACCAGCAATGCGGTAATCAATCAACGACGCCTACCTACCTCAAACCGACCCCCTCCTTCCAACCCTCGAGCGCAGCGCATCCCTCCGAGCCAACACTCCGAACCCGCAACCATGGCCGACGACAACATAACCCCCCTCGCCTCCCTCTCCCTCACCCACGTCTACTACGTTCGTTCTATTCCCCCAATAAACCATGCTAAATTCATGCTAACCCATAAACCACCCCCCAAAAACAGAACCCCGACGACCCCCTATCCTACCTCTGCGCCTTCCTCTCCCTCCTCCCCCAGGCCCTCTGCGTCGTGTACGCGACACTCCTCTGGTCGACGCGCGAGGCCGAGGTGCTGCTCATGTTTGCGGGCCAGCTGGCGTGCGAGGCCGTCAACTTTGCGCTCAAGCGGCTGATCAAGGAGGAGCGGCCGCCGAGGTTCTCTCTTAGTGGTAGTGGGAGTGGTAGTAATGGGGCGGGGGAGGTGGTCAAGGGCTACGGCATGCCCAGCTCGCACGCGCAGTTTGCTGTGTTTTGGGCTGTGGCGGTGAGCTTGTTTTTGCTGGTTCGCCATCGGCCGCCGCGGGCGCGGCAGGCGGTTGCTGCTGTTGCTGCCTCTGCTGCTGCTGTGGGTGTTGTTGCGGGGGGTGATAGGGGAGCTGATGGGCTCCGCCGGGCGGACAGACTTGGCCGGTTCACGGCGGTCAACGCGTCGATCGAGGCCTTCTCGCACGCGCCGTGGACGCTGGCGCAGCGTGCCGTCGTGAGCGCGTGCGCGCTGCTGGTCGCCGGGCTGGTCGCCTGGAGCCGCGTGTATCTGGGCTATCACACGGTGCGACAGGTGCTGGCGGGGTGTGCGGCCGGGGCGGGATGCGCGGCCGCGTGGTTTGCGGTCACATATCTCCTGAGAGAGACGGGGATGCTGGCGTGGGGGTTGGAGCTGCCGCTCGCTCGGTGGTTTCGCGTGAGGGACTTGGTAGTGGTGGAGGATTTATGTCAGGCTGGGTGGGAAAAGTGGGAAGAGAGGCGGAGGGTGGCGTTGGAGAGTGAACGGGAGAAGGAGAGCGTAAAGGGGAGGAAGACGCAGTGACGGGTCATGGGATTTAAGAAGAATAAAGGCGATATATGATGGCATTCGATTATATACATGTGATCGAGGGCAAGTACAGGTACTCTACTGTTCTTGGAACGTCTCGCTTTGAGCAATTTCCTATGATATACATGCAAGTCCGCTTTCCGTCTTACACTCAAGTTTGCTAACCTCATCCAGACCATCGATCCCACACCCGTCTAGTCCTACAATTTATCTTGGGGGCTACCGATACACTCCACCGTTGTTGTCATACTGAAAACCCGTACCTCCGTTGGTACCCCTCTGTGGGTAGTTCTCCATCGGGAGGCTATCCCCGCCGTCTCCGTACGGCGACTCGTACTTGTTCGTGCCGTTGCCCAGGCCGCCATACCCGGCGCTGCTACCCACACGGGTCTGCTCAGTCGCATAGCTATGGCGCATGTCGTCCGGTGTGGTGTGCACTGGCAGGGTATTGGGGTTCTGGCTCTTGTCTGCGACAGTGCGCTTACGGCCAAGGCCAAAGAAGTTGAATCGCGCACGGCCGCCGGAGCCCTCGGTGTAGTCGTTCGCCGGGGAAGGTCCAAAGCGCTTCTCCTTGCGGTGGTGGCGGACGAGGGCCAGGCTGAGGAAAGGCGATAGGGCGAAGAAAATGCTGTGGATTATCAATCATGTCAGTTCTACGCATGGGTGAGAGATGGAGATGGAAATGAAAAAAAGCAGGTAACTTACACGGCAACAATCGAAACCGCCAAGCAGGCCGTTTCCATCTTGCACGCCTGCCTCAGGCTCGGCAGCGCCGTAAATCCGCCACTGCCATTGTCCACCACATTGGTGTCCGCATTGCCCCTGCCAAACGCCGTGTCGACTTCCCCGCTGCAGGACGACGCCCCGCCGCGGTTGACGGCCGCGATATAGATGAAGCCACCGATGAAGCCCACGTCGAGGACCATCATGACAAAGGACGGGAACGAGCGGCCGGGGATGCAACAGGCCATGAGCAGCGCGAGGATGGTGTATAGGACGCCGGCGCCTGCGATGCCCTCGACGGCCCGCACCCAAACGCCGATGGGCATGTCATGGTTGTGCAAAGTTGCGAGAAAGTAGGAGAAGAGCGCGAGCACGATAGACGCGCAGCAGAATTGGATGGCGCGGAGAAATAATTGTGTGCCCTTCAGGGCGATGCCTTTGGCCGCGCCCATGGTGTTGATGGGGGTTTGTTTTCTCTGTGGATGTTTGTTTCGAGGTTTCAAATATTTGAAAGGCTGTGTGGGCAGTCGAGGTTATTATGTTATCTGGTTGTTGTCTGAGAGTGCAGTTGGGAGAAGTCGATGATAAGTCCCTTATGCCACAAGCAGGGCATTTCAGGGCAGTTGGCTGTTTTGGATGGAGAGAAAGGAAAGTGGTCGAGTTGCGTTTGGGAGTGAAACAAACGAATCCCCCACGTCACAGAGAAAGAAAGAGGCACCACTGGCACATGAGATGTGGAGGGCCCAAAGCACCGGCCGAACCCCCCGGGGTCGAGCAACGGCTTGCGGCAATGCGGCCTGTTGCATCACTGTAAAAGGGCCATGACTTGACCGTCAGAGACCGGGTTCAAAGGGCCCAGAAGGGGCCCACAGCTGCTCCGAGAGCATTGCGATGTGCGCTTGTTTCTCACTCGAACCCAATCATAATGTCGCATTTCCACAAGTGTGTGGACGATCGCAGATCCGATCGCTGAAACGCTGTCGTTTCCGTGTGCTTCCGGTCTCTGGATGACGAATCCGTCTCCATCGTTTCTTACACAGTAACGTCATTCGTGGCGACGGTTTTGGTGGGGTGACGTGCAAGCCACAGCCGGCTTGCTTGGCATGGCACAGCCATGTGGCGCAGTCTAGAGAGGACGACGACGACGACTCCTCGGACAAGCTCGGGGAGAAAGTATTTGGGCAATCAACTGTCTTTGACGTTGGGTCTTTTGTATGATACTTAAGGTATATCATACCGAGCTCGTGTCTAGGTAACTGGGTTGACCGTCGAGTCTCGGAGCGGATCTCAAAGTAACACCCCAGGAAGGTGTCTAAGGTAGATGCCTCGTCCCTGCCCCGTCTGTTTGCTACCGGGAAACGGACCAGGCAACACCCACCCAGTCCTTGAATGAGCTTCCTGCTCGCTGCCGTCAACAAACAACACCTCTCTGGTGTATCGGTTAACATAGCGGATTCTCATTGCAAGCATTCCGTTGCGCGGGGTTCGACTCCCCGGAGGGGTAGCTTTTTGCCTTACTATACCTCTATCTCTCTACTAATTCTCGGAATTACCCTAACACCAGCCCAGTTTTGGTTCCCCAGTGGCAGTATCAAAATAGGTATCGTCCCCTTGATACTGGAGAGCGGAGGCAGCCGCCTTCCAGAGCACAGGTGCTGTGCCCGTCCAAGCCAATTATTCACTTGGTCTAGTGTCTGCAGTGCACCCCCAATCCCCAATAAAAATATATGCGCTAGGTTGGCATCTACCTGATCTAGGAGTTTCCCGGTGCACCACAGCGAAGTGCACTACAGGTTACATATATGCGAGTTAGATGCGCAGGATAGCCTGGGATATGGGAGAGATCCACCGCTAACTTGCGTCAGGTACTGTACCTTGCAGGACGACGGTGATGAGACCCGACCCCGAGCCGACTCGCGGCTGAGGAACGTCCGGGCGCACAGCCTATGACGTGCTGCCCTGCGCAAGCCGGGGAGCCAAGTCCATGGCCGCATTTGTGAGTCTGGTTCCCTTCCAAGGTCGCGGCCCGGTCAGCGTCGCACAAGCATTCCATTTCTCAACCACTAGCACGACTACTAGTAGCACGACAGTTGTGGGGCCTGGGTAAAATCCAAATTCCGCTCCGCTCCCATGATCCTCTGGAATCCTCTCCGCGAGAACCCGGAAAAGCTTCAATTCGAGACATGTCTCGAGCAACAAAACATGGAAACCCCAAATCCCCGGACGGAGCGGCGCGACTGCCACGTGGGATCCGGACAGGGTAAAAAAGGCCAAGACCTTGAACCCAAGATCGGATACGACTGCGGCATGAGGAGATCGGCGCCGACCAGGCCAGGGAGTGAGAGCCTGAGAGGGATCGAGGTAACCCCTCCCTCTGTGGCACTTGGGATGCAACCCGACCCCAACAAAACAACATGCAGACACGAGAAGTGGTAGAATACTCGCTGTGGTTGGCAACCTGCCAACGTGCAATGCTGATCCACCCTCGAACCGTGCATTGTGCATCTCCACCGGATGCCCGGCGCTCGCGGACAAGAGAAATGGCATGATTTGTCGACCAGTGAAGCCCCGTTGACGTGGCTTGTCTTGTTACCCACAGCACCCGCAGCCCAGAGCGCTCGGCGCGTTCAATAGCAACAGGGCCAGGCGAGTTATTTGCCAATGCCTAGACACGCCAGAGCCAGCTCCACAGCGCGCGAACAACCCACCGAAAAGGGCGAGATGCGGCTGGAAGCCAGAATCGATAAGCTGGCGCCCAGGCCAATCAGACGAACTGCTTTTCAGTCGAGGATGCGCTTGGTGTCCCTGGGACCGGAAAGCCCAAGCCGAGACCCCTGCGGAAATACGAGCGTGGCTCGAGCGTGGACGCAAGGGAGTCACATCGTCCCCTGTATCCAATGCCGCCGAGACTTCATGGCTGAATGGCTGAGCTGGGGGACAAGCCCCGGGGGCCAGGGGACATGATGAGAAAACACATCACCGCCCAACATGCGCGTGTCTGGGCGCCACCTGCGATAGCCTTCTACTCTCGTTTTCTCTGGCTTCAGCAGTTCTGCGGTGCTCCGTCGATTCGTTCCTCCGGGGTAGTAAGGATCCGTATATTGCTCAGATCACCCCCATACCGCTCGGGTTGGGTGTCGCGCCATCGGGTTCTGTCCACTCGTTTCGGTGTCCCCTTATTAACGACTCATCGCCTATCCCGTAATCTAATGTTTTGAATCCTCGCCCAACATGAGAACGAAAAGGCCTGTCTTTGCCGGTCTGCTGTCCCTCGCAGCCCAGACCGGCAGGGCCGATCCGACATGGCCCGCTGCCACGGACCACATGGAGGAGATCGTCTACCAGCTCCAGGGGGTCCGGGGGAGTCTGTTCAACGACATCATCACGCCTTGCAACAATGAAGCCGCTGGTCCTGGCCGCGTGACGGCCAGCGAGTGGCTGCGCGTTGGTTTCCAGTACGTGTTGTGGCTGTACTGTGCAAAGATAGCTTGACGGCTGCTGACTCTGGGATCAGTGACATGTCACCGCACAACCGCTACTTCGGCACCGGTGGTGTCGACGGCTCACTACAGTTTGAGCTTACCAACGGCGAGAACACGGGTCCCGGCCACGCCACGACGCTCCAGTTCTACGCCAACTACTTGACCGCGCAGTCTAGCTTGGCCGACTTGATCGCCGCCGGAGTGTACGCCTCGGTCCGCTCCTGCGGCGGCCCCGTCATCCCCCTGAGAATGGGGCGCAAAGATGCCACCTCGGCCGGCAGCGCTGGTGTCCCGCAGCCCCAGAACTCGGTCGCCACCTTCCGGCAGCAGTTTGACCGCATGGGCTTTACTGCCACCGAGATGATCCAGTTGGTCGCTTGCGGCCACACGCTCGGCTCCGTCCACAGTACCGAGTTCCCCCAGATCGTCCCTGCCTCTGTTGGGCAGGTTCCTTTCGATACGAGCAACGCCGTCTACGACAACAAGGTTGCCGCGGAATATGCTTCCGGCACCACGAACAACCCACTTGTTGGCGGTCCGGCTGTCGCCGCCGGCCGGCACTCTGATTTCAAGGTCTTCAGTTCGGACGGAAATGCCACCATCAACACCATGTCCAACCCAACTGCCTTCCGCAACACTTGCCAGGCCATGCTTCAGAAGATGATTGAGGTTGTTCCCGATGGCGTCACTCTTACCGCCGAAGCCATCGCGCCCTATGCTGTCAAGCCGATTGATATGCAACTGACCCTGAACACGGGCGGCACCACCTTCCTCTTGTCTGGCTCCATCAGAGTCAGGACCACGGAGCTGCCTGCCAGCTCTATCCAGAACGTTGTTCTTACCTGGAAGGACAGGGATGGCGGGAACAGCTGCGGATCGTCCGCCACTTGCTCCACGACGGCCACGCTGCAGGGTGTGGCCACCGGTTTTGACGATACCTTTGGCGTATGTATCAATCACGTCTTGAAACCCAAAGCTTGGCCGCCAGCGCTAACAGCCCTACCAGTTCTTCCCCATCCAGGCAACGATTCCGGCCGCGTCTGGTATCTCATCGTTCACTCTCGCTGTGAAGCTCAATGATGGGTCGAGCCAAACGTATGACAACAATGGAAACTCGTACCCCATGCCCGACGCTGTCGTCCTGCAAAAGACCCAAAGCTGTCTGCTCCAAGGCCCCGGCTCTCTCACTGTTTCCGCCCTGGTAAGTTTGATGCATGTCAGCAACGAGCAGCGATACTGACCATGCGACAGGTCCGCAACGACATTGTTGGCCTCCCGATGAACTTGGGTATCTCGTATCTGACTCCCCGTAACACGGCCGACAACAACCCGGTTCCGGCCCTGAACGAGGCCTCGGTCCCGATGGCCGAGGGCGAGTGTGTGGGACAGTATACCTTTTACTCGGCCAGCTTCACCATCCCCGGCGGCCTCAGCTACAATGCCAGGATCAGCGTGACCGCTGGCTCGGGTGCTTCCGCCTACACCGACGACTTTAACAAGGCCAGCGATCTGTCGGGCACTTGCGGCGAATTCGCCGGAGGCGCCACTTGCGCCAACGTCACCGCTCCGTCTACCTCCACTGTTCCGTCGTCAACCACCTCCGTTCCGGGTTCCACCACGACCAGCGTTCCGGCCACCACCACCACTGCGGCCCCGACGCCCGCCGTCAAGCCTACTGTCGGCGGCTACGTGTTTGTCGACTGCTGGACCGAGGGCACGGGCGCGCGGGCCCTTGGTGGTGCTGCATTCGCATACGACGAGATGACCCTGGAGTCCTGCATGACCAACTGCACTGGCTTTGACTACTGGGCCACCGAGTACGGCAGGGAATGCTACTGCGGCAACAGCCTTCACTCCAGCAGCACCGAGGCCCCCGCTGCGGATTGCAACATGGTCTGCGGTGGTGACCCGAGTGAATTCTGCGGCGCCGGAAACCGCCTTGAGCTGTACTCGACGACTGCGACTCGCACATCTTCTGCCACTCCCACACCCACGGCAACCCTCGCCGTCAAGCCTACCGTAGGCGATTACACATTTGTCGGATGCCAGACCGAGGCCACGGCCGGTCGGGCGCTCTCTGGGAAGGGATACGCTGATGACGCGATGACGCTGGAGTTGTGCGCAACATACTGCAGCGGCTTCACCTACTTTGGCACCGAGTACGGCCGTGAATGTGAGTGACCTTGACCCCGAACCCCTCCTCCTCCTCCTCCCGTGGAATGAGCATGACTAACATGCGTGACAGGCTACTGCGGCAACAGCCTCAACGCCGGCAGTGTGTCGGCCCCTGTGACCGAGTGCAGCATGGTGTGCGGCGGCGACGCGGCCGAATACTGCGGCGCTGGCGACCGTCTGGAGCTCTACAGACTGACGAGCTCCTCCTCCACAACTGACCCGTCTTCGGAAGGTGAGACGGCATAACCCGACCCAACAAACAAAAAAAAAAAAGCCAACCCCCACATGAATTCCTAATAACGTTTCATCTCTCAAAGCCACCACCCCCCCAACCTCCACCACCACCACCACCACCGCTCCCACCCCAACCGGCACCCTCACCCGGGTCCCCACCGTCTCCCCTTACACCCACGCCGGCTGCTGGACCGAAGTCGCGGCCGGCCGCGCCCTGGACGCCAAGACGTACGCGTCGGGCGACGCCATGACGCTCGAGAGCTGCGCGGCCTTTTGCGCCGGGTACAGGTACTTTGGCACCCAGTACGCGGCCGAGTGCTACTGCGGCAACGCGCTCAGCGCCCTGTCGACCGAGGCGCCGGCCCTCGCCGACTGCGCCATGCCCTGCTCCGGCAACGCTTTTCAGTATTGCGGCGGGCCCAACCGCATCGAGCTGTACGAGAATTACGACGCTGTCGTCACCGTGCCCGTGCCCGGGGGCGGGGGCGGCGCGCCCCCCACCCAGCCTGCGACGGTGGCTGGCGGCGGTGGTTGGGGCTTTTACGGGTGCATGACCGAGGCCACGGGCGTGCGGGCGCTCGGGGCCGAGGCGCCGCTTGCCGTGGATGATTTG